GAATAAACTTTCACCAGTCACGAAAATTCACCTTATCATTTATCAACCCACTCATAAAAAAGAAACAATGCAATTTATTCAATAAAATTATGTAAACATGATACACCCAACCTATTATTAGTTTATCCCAAGGTTGATATCTCCTGGTATTTATTTGGACTAAGCTCATAAAATACCATGGTGACCCAATTGTGCCACTTCTGTTTAAATTACACGATTGGTATCAAATATAAAGACGTGTTCAAGAAAGCAAAGGATACATGCAAAACAAAAGGTATTGTTTGAGGATGAAAATCTAAAGGTCAGTTCTCAGGCTGAATACAAAAACCACACAAAGCAGACTACAAACAGAGTCAAGTAATTCTGTGTGTTGCACTCAACCAGCGGTTAATATTGTATTCACTTTAAGATGCACACAAACAGAGCTTTTAGTTTAAGGTCAGAGCATAAATGACTTGTTCCTTCAGGGTTCATGCTTTTTGTTTTATCTTATGAAAGTTGAGGTCTGCTTCAGCTCTACTTCTTTAAATTACAGACTTTTTGCCATGACGTTTGACGTTCAATAATGGAGCAGTTGATTCATATCTTGCATCCGCTGAAGTCCAGTGTCCTCTGTTTATCTACTTCTTTTAACTGTTTTAACTCCAAGTCAAAAAGTGTGTTTTTGTTCTGTCTTATGTTTCTTTTCTTAAAGCGTTGATATCTGATGTAAAATAAATTTAGACTCCCTTAAAAGTTGCTCTATCAGACATCTCTTTCCAAGAAGGCCATTTTTGGAAATGAGCTGATCAAGTCTTTGACAGGTTTGAGGTCTGAGTGTACCCTGAAGCAAAGAACATCAGCTCATTAGATCAAGATAGAAACCACTCGTTCTGTCTGCTCATGCTGGGGTCAGTCTGGTCAGCCTGTCTGTTTCATCTCCCCGGAGAATGAGTGCTCACCCATGACTGCTCATGCTGCACCTATCAGTGCTGTGGGATAAACAGCCACGGTTCAATCTCTGGCTGTAGCTGCAGGAAGTCTGAGGTCTCACTCTTTGGCCTCAGATGCAGCCTGCAAGATTGATTTACTTCATTCTACGGAGGAAGAGCTGGTCTCTAATCAGGTCAGAGCTAAGTGCTGACCTACAGGGGCTAAGGTCAGCTATAGACCAAGACACACAAACATTGAGGACATCCCACAGCAGCCATGTTAATATCAGTCCATAAAGCCTATAAAGCTCCAGACTCCTGTGTTGGACTGCCTCCCTGCCTTTGTCCAGCTCTGTTGTCAGGGACGAGGTATGTATGGCACGACGGGGCTGCCCCTAAACTCTCCTGGAGCCAATGAATGAGAGGATGGACGGAGGCTAGGGGAGGAAAGCAAAGGAAATACACTCATCATCGCATTAAAGGAGAGCAGGACAGAGAGGTTGAGGAAGAGAGGAGATGGGAGGGAGGAAGAGGTGGTGGACGGGGGTGCAGTAATGGGGTCTTTGTTCTGGTTGGTGTGACTCACAAAGCCTTGGCTGGGCCAGCACAGCTTAGTTACCGTTACCAAACACAGAGAATAAGGAGGGAGGAGTGTGTGTGTGTGTGTGTGTGTGTGTGTGTGTGTGTGTGTGTGTGTGTGTGTGTGTGTGTGTGAGGACTGTAGGGTTTTTATGCAACCCAATTAAACCTTAGCTGTTATTTGCTGCAGCTTTCCCTTCACTTGCATTACTTTTGTTTCTTTGACCAAACTGGCTTTTGTCACCGCCAGAACATCACAGGCAGCCAGCATAGTCAACAGTCAGACTATGGCTTGGTTATGCAATAGACAAATAACTGCATGCCAGCATCATTCAGCAGTGTCTATACTTTGATTTTGGAGGATCTGTTGTGATGGAGTGACCTGAGGAGACAAAATTTTACAGACATTAGTGTTACTTATTGTGTTTATTTTAGGAACTGTATTATAGTCATGTGGAAAAATACAAGTTTAACAAATTGCATGAAGTACACCCATCATTTCAACTTAAAAACACAGTCATACTTTACTGAGCATGTTGTGCCGACAGACATAAAACATTTTTACTTCCATTAACCTCAAGTGTTGATGACAAAGTAGATGAGTCGGCTGACAGAGGAGTGAGACTTCTATTAAATAATTGTCTTGAAGTTTTACAAACTTTTACCTGCTACATCATAAATAAAACTGGTCTTCCTTCATTTTACATCCAGCCTATGATTAGGCCAATTTTCTAAGCAGAATATGTTTTAAAAACATGGAAATACTTGCTAATATCCAGAAGTCACGCCCCCTTACTCACCCCTTGATGATGAAGCTCCACAAGTGATGGTGGCCTTACAGGGCAAAAAGCCCCTGTGATGCCTGATAATGAACTTAAGTTTCTCATTTTGCAATTTACTTTGGGGTACAACATCTCATTCTCTTCTTCTTTTTCACCTCCCAAACGGTGCAGTGTTTGGGCAAACACGAAGTACAAAAAGGCAAATGGCCATTATTAGTTTGTCTGCTTTGCTGACAATGATGGTGGCGCAAGAAAACGGCCTTGATGGAACAAAAACAAAATAATTCTTATTCTCAGGTGATTATATGCTAACTTAAACACACTTATGAATATCATATTACATTTCAACCAGTAGCTCAGGAGGTAAAGCGGTCATCCAATGACTGGAAGGTTGGCGGTTTGATTCCCCCCTATACCTAGTCTGTCCTTTGGGTCCTTGGGCAAGACACTTAACCCACCTTGCTCCCAGTGTGTGTCCTCCACTGGTGTATGATTGTGTGTTGTGTGGTGGTGGTCGGAGAGGCCGTTGGCGCAAACTGGGGGCCATGTTTCCATCTGTCTGCCCCAGGGCAGCTGTGACTACTAAGGTAGTTTACCACCACAATGACTGTGTGAGCGAATGAATGATGTATCCAGTGTAAAGTGCTTTGAGGGTCTCTGAAATAGCGCTATAAAAATCTGATGCATTATTATTATTATTACTGAGTCTGTTCTGCCCAATAATATAAAGAACTTCACATGACACGTCGAATGACTCTTATTGATTTCTGTTATACTTCTGCCGAGATCTAATCATCTCATCAAGCAGGTTAAAAGACAAAATAAAAACAGAGAGCATCTAAATAGAAGGCAAATATTTGTGCTCAGGATTGAAGCACACCTTCATAAAGCTGCTTTTATAAGTACAATGCAAGCTGGTGATACATAAATTTATGTGCGGTAGGAGACGTGTGACTCATAAAAACTAAGTCCAAAACTTGTGAATCATGTGAACATGAGAGAATGTTTTTTGGTTAGCAATGCAACAGGAAAATCCTTGCCAGATAAGATGTTAACTGATGTGAAACAAAACTGTTATTGTGACCAACTTTTGAGAAGGAAATGCTGCACACAGCTCAGTCACCGTAGACTTTTCATGCAGTTCATAATAATAATAATGATTTGAGGATGTCATTTGAGTTGTGATTCTTCATATCTGTTGTGTCATTTATTACCTCAAATGACGTTGGCCTTGTAGTGGTCCACCGGGTCTGATTAGAAATTCTTGAGGATGCTAAGAAAATGACTGCATTTGCCACTGAATGTGACAACACCATATTTAAACTGATTAAGTGAAAGAAAACACTGGAATCATATTACGAAACAATGCAAGTAAACATGTTTTTATCACCAACCCCAACATCAAGAGATAGAAGACATCTGGTGGTGTTCAAGGAATGGCATTTATGCAAGTAAATGTGTGTGTGTGTGCATGTGTGTGTTCAGCTTATGGAGTAAGCAGGATGTCCTGTCCTCGCTGCTGCTATTGTGGAGCGACCAGCCTGCCAGACGCTCCCCCCAAAGACCACTTCCCTTCTGTCAAGGGCCCTTCTCTCTCTGTCGCTCACACTCCCACACACCCACACAGCCCCATGCCAGCCTGAACACAATGGGAACCTGTCCAACACCTCCCTGTCACCTGGCTAAAAATAACTCTTTTGGTAGCTTCAGACATGAAGACTGTGTTGTAACAATGGTGTGGCAGGACTTTGATCAGCCAAAATAGCCCTGCTGTTATTTTCAGTCATTACACATCACCATTACCGGTGTTACTGGCTGATAACCCTGTGTTTAGCCTTCTCTTCAATTACAATGTCCTCTATTTTTGTCATAACAGTGGTTAGCATTGTTTTATGGAGAATAGAACTGGGCACGGGCAACTGTTTGTACGTATATACTCTGATGTGAGAAAGAGCAGCATCCAGGAGAGTTTGGTCATTATCTGAGCAAGACAAAAAATACTCTCACTTAAAAAACAAAGGAATCGTCTCAATCATATACCACATTTAAATATAACATTAAATGTCTGTTGCTGCTTCCTTGATGTGATGAGCTTAAATATGAACTTCAAACTCACCTGCAGGCTTTGAACCTCAAAAGAGGGTCTTCATTTTCCTCATGTCAAAGTTTATATATCAATTTGACAGGTATTTCAATTCAATGTCAGGACTGACAATGAAGCAGCCATGAGAACAAGCCACTTGTGATTTATATCTGCTAGCCTTGTTTTCAAATGTGGATGTAACCAGCTCTAACGGTAGGCTTTGTGGTTAAAAATGAGCTCTTTTTCCTACTCTAGTTTGAAACTTTATCAATGTGAAGGGATTATTTCTGGATGACTTTTATTAACCTTCTAGACAAAGGAAGCCTAGCTACACAGAGCCTATAGCAAAAAGTAGTGCCTTTGTTTTTAGCGGGTTACGGAATATGTACAGAAACATACACAGAGTCATAAGTTTTCTAATGTATCTCTGAAAGTAAACAGGTTATTTTAGTGGCCTTCATTATGTTGTGCAGTGTCGTGGTCGTGGACAGCACATGCTCCACTGCCGCTAATAAGCTTTAACTCCTCCGTTGATGACACCAGACCCCTCCCTGTCCTCCCCTCCTTCTCCAGTCCCCTATTTACACTCCCCTCATCCTCACCCCCTCCACCCTCTCCCTCCAGCCCAGCCGAGGTGCTATTGTCTCGTTTCCTGTGGCCGTGCAAGCAGCTCGTGTCACGCGCGGTGACACATGCACGCGCGCAAACACCCCCGCCGTGGCTGTGATGCGGTTCCATTTTCATCAGCGGGCGGACGGAGCGGGTCGTCAGGAATAATTGACAAACTCTCAGAGTTAAAGTTGTCGCCGCTTTTCAGGTCAAAAGCGACTTCTTCGTGATATCGGGGAACTTATCACCTCTCACGCTGAGCTGAGCTGTGGAGGAGCAAAAAGGAGGAAAAGTATGGAGTTTTTCCTCTGACAGCTGCGCCGCTGCAGACTGACAAACATCAGTGACCGGGAGGTGAGCTGTCACCATTCATTCAGCTGCCTGTGAGTTTGCCCTGCTTTTCCCTCTGATTTATACTGTACCCTTAAACTATAACTTTCTTGTCAAAAAATGAATAAATCAAAGCTGTGGTTTAAATCATGCTGCAACTATAGCCTGTGGAGATGACAGAATGTATTGTTGGCTTGTGCAAACTGTCTAAACTGTCTGTTTCGTTATAAAGTACAACAATTAATGGATACAGACAAAATGCCTGTTTACAGTAAACACAAACAAAAACCTGTATTCAGCTAAAGAGAGCTGAATATATCACGAACATCCTTAGATACACTGAACTCTTCTGTGATAACAAAAATGCAAAGTGATGCTGCACAGCAAGCCAACTTAGTGAGTATCTTTTCTAATGTGCTATGGGGGAAAATGATTCACTACTATATAACAACCACTTAAGCACGGTTGTTTGGTTCTGTTTCAATTCAAATCCTCAGTTTAAACATTGTGGTCAAACTTTGAACTTTCTAACAAAAACAGTATACATATTTCAATCATTTTAATTCTAAATCAATGAATAGTTTGATCCAAAATGTCCACATGTCCAAATGTCCAAATGAAAAAACAACAGAAAAAGTATTCAAATGTGAAATACCGAAGCTAGCAGTACACAGAAATACACTAGAAGTGTTACCCAACTCCTTGATTAGTCACAGTCCTAAAAAAAGCTGAACTTTATAAAACCTAATCATTGTTTTGTGGATTCAATGTTTGATTTTTTTTTAGTTGTGATGTAACTTGAGTTATAAATCCAGAAGTTTTTTACTGCAACCAGTGAAGGCGTCCACTGTATGCCTGTGTCCTCACATTTAAACCTTAAGACCCTCCTCCTCTTCCTCCTCCTTGCATATGAGAGAAAGGAACAGCTGGATGTGAGCTGGGCTTGAACTTGATCCTTTCAGATCAGCAGGTCCCAGAGGTCTGTTTCTGTCGCAGTCACAGGCTGCAGGGGGAAGCCCTTTAACTGTGCAGCTGTCCACGACCTGTACATGAGGACTAAACACACACACTCAAAAATACAGAACTGATATCCTTCAGCAGGTCTTCCAAGAACTCACAATACGTCTCTGCTATAGGTCTGGAGGAGAGGTGGTCTTGGGACTTACAAACATAAACTCTATTACAGCCAAACTCAATGTTCTATAGACTGGACTCCCTGCAGAAACAACATCAGCTGAATATGAAGCCGGCCCTGTCAGAGGTCCTGGGACTGAGCCACAAAACACAGAACCCACAGTGTGTGTGTGTGTGTGTGTGTGTGTGTGTCTTAGTGAGGACTGGCATATGTAAGTGTTGGCCTGCTTGTGTACGCACGTGTGGAGACTTGTGCATATGTAGCCAAATGTAGCTGTGTTTGGTGCAGACTGGTACAGTGAGGGCATTGTGAGTGCTGGTTAAGGCCTCATGGGAGGCGTGTGAAAACGCAGTAAAGATGTCACTCTGCAGCTGGCACAGGACAGTGCTGATGGACTGCTTACACTCACAGTCTTCCCTTTGTGTGTGTGTGTGTGTGTGTGTGTGTGTGTGTGTGTGTGTGTGTGTGTGTTGAAAAGACAGAATGAATCTTATCCAGAGACAGTTTTTACACGCCATGTGCCAGTAGTGGACCTGGACCACCTCACTGCCGCTGTAGCTCAGTTGCATAACAGGAGATAAGGCCATTGCAGCTGGTTGGTTCCAGTGCTAAACTGATTCAGAATTAAACTCTCGTTGAGTTGATGGATTTGTGTAGATGAATCATAATACACCAGAGCCTGAAATGACTTGTCGACCTTAATATGGGCCAACCTCAACTCAGAAGGCAGTATCACCCTGTCGACTAGGTATTACCTCAAGTGCCTCACCCATCATTCTTCCATGCACGTTTTTGCAGAATCTCCATCATTGGTTTTACATTATTCTTTTTAAAATGCATAATTGCTTCTAGCCATACCATCCTGGTGTCATCAGTAGACTTTTTGTCAGGTTTTAGAGAGCCCACATCGGAGCAACCGCAACAGAACATATACAGCTGGGTTCGCGTGCCAGTGGTGCTTTTTAACTGGTGAAGTTTCCATTCATGTCTGAATGTGAGGGGAAGCTGCAGAGGAAGATGATATCTGCATGTGTTTCGCCAAAAGAGTCACTTGGTGGTTGTTAATGTAAACCTGCACAGGAGGAGATCCAGGACTTTCATTGCAGGTGTATTTTGAAATAGAAGCTTGATGCCCTGTATAATGCCCTTGACCATCAGGGTTGGATACCACTTCAGCTTCATGATTTCAGGTACCAGTTCCACTTCTGCTTATCCATCTTGTCTCTTATGGATCCTTGGTTTTAGTTCCATCATTTTTGGAGGGTGAAACTGAGGCCTTTTGGGCCTTCAAAATAGAATAGAATAGAATAGAATTCAACTACAAAGTACAAAGCAATGAAATACAGTTTGCATCCATCCAGAAGTGCTTAGCAAGAATAAATATATTTACAAATGTACACAGTATGAAGGAGATATATACATGAGTACACAACATTGTTATGAATATGTTATAACTATGAGTTTGTACAGGCTATGGACAGATTATACATATGGTTATAAATATGAAGGCTATAAACAGACTATAAATATAAGTATATGACAGATAAATTATACAGTAGTGCAATATTGGATGTATTTACAGTAGTGCAAATGAGGTCTGAAAGGTTTTAAGTTGGTTTACAGATATAAAGTGCAGGTATAATTGTTGATAATTGTAAGTGAACCATCAGCAGTGTCAAGGATTTTTCTTTTGACCTTCATTTTAAAAATACACAGGATTTTCCTTTGCAGCAACAGATCGACAAGAAAAAGTACAAACCAAATCCCTTTATATTTGTATTCATGGAAATGGTTCATTTACTGTTATATAAATGTAAACATGTGCTCCATTGTGTTGTGTACCTGAGCGTGACAAGATGTACTGTAGGCACAGCTGCAACCACAACCTGGGGCAGCGGCACCTTCGTCACGAAAGCACACCACATTACCACAGTACATCAAATTCATGTAGACTTCCTCCCTTATAGAACAAATGTTGCACTTTATTCTGTTTTAGTGAAGCACAGCTTAACTTTTGATCACTTGCTGCTTTCTGTCACGAGCTTCTTCCCACAGCTTTGTTGACGTACTGCAACACAAGTGATGTAATTTTACGTCAGGATGTGTCAAACTGTACATTCAAACACACTGATATGAATTTACTTCCTCTTCTGACTTTTCAAACTCAACGAAATCCAAATAACACAGAATCAAAAATCAACACATTGTCTCTCACAATGTCTGACTGTTCATATTTCACAACAGGACAATTGTGTGTCTTGACAACAGTGCTGTGTGTTTGTAAGAGCAGTGCTGTGCTGCTTTGGTTCTTTTTTGTTCGGGCTCAGTGGTGGAAACTTCAGCGATTTGATGCAGATTTGAATTTTTCCTGTTGAGGTTGGTTTAGGAATCAGTGTTTCAGAAGTATTTCTTTCTACTAATCCTGTCTCAGAGTCTGGCAGCGGCTGACCTCTCACAGTGCTGATGACCGCCTGAAGGGTGGCATGCCACACTGCCATGTGAACTTAAATGAATGGCATAAAAGCTTGAGTACATGCAAACAAATATTCATAAAATACTGTGTATATACTAAATATTTGGGCACAATTAGAACTGCACAATTGACACTAAAACACTGTGTAAATTCAGAAACCCTCAGTATCACTCTGACAGGTAAAAGATCAATGTTATGACTGATATGTGAATAATAACCGTGTGCTGATGTTGTTTTAGTTAAAGGGTTTGCATTTGCATTCGAATGTGACCCAGTCTCTTTCCAAATCTGCAGTTACAGTAGCACTTTGAATACCAAATACACATGGTGCAGTTAGAACTGAACTCATATTTGGTATAACGACCAAACTTGTCATCAGTTCCCCCTTATGTAGAGCTGGACTTGTTTGTTTTCTTGTCCTGTAGCTTTTATAGCGAGGAAGTGACCATGTGCTTTTCCTTTTCTCTCCACAGGATGACAGACCGGCCCTGCAGCCGAGCATCCTGACTGTCTCTGCCTCCGCTTGTGAGTCCAAATGTCCACAATGACTCGGAGGGGACTTGAGTGGCGAATCCCCTGCTGACACTTAGGAGCGGCAGTTTTCTTCTCTGACTGTCACCTTTCCTGACAACTTCGGTGTTATCCCTTTTCTCCAGAGCCCCCTCCCTGTTGAATTTGTCACCATGGCTAGTCTGGTGCTTAATGAGACCGGAATGGAGGACTGTGGGATCGATGACTCCTTCAAGTACGACTTGTACTCGGTGGTCTACAGTGTGGTCTTCGTCTTAGGACTGATCACAAACTGCGCTGCCCTTTTTGTGTTCTGCTTCAGGATGAAGATGCGCAATGAGACCACAATGTTTATGACTAATTTAGCGTTATCAGATTTAGTATTTGTCTTTACGCTGCCATTTAAAGTCTTCTACAACGTGAACCGCCATTGGCCATTCGGAGATGAACTGTGTAAGGTATCAGGAACAGCCTTTATCACCAACATCTACGGCAGCATGCTCTTCCTCACCTGCATCAGCGTAGACCGCTTCCTGGCGATAGTCTACCCTTTCCGCTCCCGCTCCATCCGCACTCGGAGGAACGCAGCCCTGGTGTGTGCCGCCGTGTGGCTGACCATTGTGGGAGGAGGAATATCAGTGACTTTCTTCTCCACCATTAACAGCTCAAAAAGAGCTACGACGTGCTTTGAGGGCTTCTCCAAAAGCACCTGGAAGACCTACCTGTCCAAAATTACCATCTTTATTGAGGTGAGTGAGAGGAGGCAGCCTCTGGTATCACACACATCTACACCATTCGTGCTTTTATTATTCATCTTAGCAGTTACAAAGCAGTGGAGCTTCTGAAGTGGGTTGAGATTTTTAATTACTTCTGTCTATTTTCCAGATTGTGGGCTTTCTTATCCCCCTCCTGGCAAACTTGGTGTGTTCCTCGCTTGTCCTGCGGACATTACGGCGTCCAGTAACTGTAGGTCATGGCTGTGACAGTAAGAGACGTGTCCTGAGGATGATTTTGGTCCATTTGGCCATTTTTATCATCTGCTTTGTCCCCTATAACTCTATCCTCTTTCTGTATGCCCTGGTGCGGACCCAGGCCCTGGCTAGCTGCGCTATAGAGCGCTTTGCCCGGACTCTTTACCCAATCACCTTGTGCCTGGCCAGTCTGAACTGCTGCCTGGACCCTGTCGTCTACTACTTCACCTCAGAGAGCTTCCAGAAAAGCTTGACCATGGGAGGTAAAGGGCCCGGCTCTCGTCCTGAGAGCATCCCACGAAGTGACACTGAGGGCCAGAACACAGCAAACACCCTTCCCACAGACACACACACTCTGGCCAGCAATGGAAAAGACTCAAAGACAGCAGAGAGTCAGCTCTGACTCAGCAGGGAAAAAGGAAGGTAAAGAAGGACACGCTGAGTTTGACAGGAGCCCTGAATTGGAAAAATAAAGCGATCAGCTGTTGGGTCCTGGAAGTGACAAACACATAACTCAGCAGATTAGTTAAGTCCTGAGGTAAGTCCTGAGGTATGGCCTGGGCTTTACGGATTAATCCACCACTGGAGAGCAGAGGAATGCATCTATGTGTGTTTATTATCAGAGACCCAGTCACACCAGGACCATTGTCCAGAGACAGGCAGAGTCTCTGCACGAGACTCCAACTCATCGTCACTCAGGCTTAACACACACAAGCCCTCGCTGGAGCAATGCATGTGGATCAGATGGAGATCTCTGTCCATGTCAGTGAAATATGCTGTTAAGAACTTTTGTAACACATTGAGCCCATAGTTTTAGTGTCATAAAGTTCAAGTTTTCACTGAATGTTATATGATTTTAGTAATTCATGTTTTGACACACTTGAACGTGCTGAGACTTGTTATTACAGCACAGATGCCGCTGACCTGCCTGAATCTGAGTTTAATGCGTCTCATGTTGGAATTTGAGGCCATTAAATGTCTGTTTTGAACTGCTGTCCTGCCTGCATGATTATTTCTGTCTGATTTTGTTTTGAACTTCACATTTTGTCGATGTGACCCTAAAAAGAAAAAACTCATGGAGGAGTTTTTCTTCACCCTTTCTGTCTTTTATGAGAGCAACCAGAGGGTCCTTATAAGCGGAGGGCAGCTCTTATCCATTAGAGGACCTTGGCCTGAGTGCTGTGTCACAGGCCAAATGCTTATTATGACTGGAGCAATGGTCCATTGTTTGCTTCTGAATGAGCTCTCTCTGTCTTAATCTGGCCTTAGACTGCAGATCTGCTCAAAGTCTCAGCAATGTGCACACACTCCAAAGTAGCAGTGAACTCTGTTAAACTAAATTCCCTTAAACCATCCTGTTACATCGCACGAGATGCAAAACAGTAATGTCAGCAGATCCAGACGATTGCTTAGTTTGCATGTATGCATTAATATGTGATTTTTGGATGTTTATATTTTAAGCTCTTCACCATCTTATCATACAGGACCTCATTGAGGATTGAGACTAGGACTGGGCGATAAACCGAAAATTTACTGATACTGAAATTTAGGACAATAACCGACGGCATTTTGCCCATGTCAATATGTTCGGTGTCAAAATAAATAGATAAATAAAAGTTTGTTTTGGATGTGTGTAGGTACGCTATGGTCTTAAGTCCCTTTAAGACGCTGTCCTACATCAGAGACATGACTCCACCCCATCCAGTCCGTAACAAAGAGGGAAAGACAGGTGAGGAGATGGAGGACAGTTCAAAAGTTGTTCAAAAGTTGCTTAAGTAGACGAAGTTAATGTGGGAGGGGGTTAGCAGCTTGTGGAGTGGTTATGGTCCATTTATTGTTATTGAGGTGGACTGCTCAATATATTTTGATATTGATTTGAGGCCATATCGCCCAGCCCTAATTGAGACCCAATTACATGGACATGTTAAACATCCGAATCAAGGTAAAACTTAACTGAAAAGAGCAATTAAAGTAGATGTCTGTCTGCCCATCTGTTTCATAATTAGTGACATAACTGTGCAAATTTGCATCCTTTCCTGTGACAGAGAGCTAGACAGTCCAAACTGGTGGAAGCTTTTGTAACTTAATAGCCTTGTTGCACAATCTATAATTAATTAATTCAGCCTTTCCTCCGTCAGAGCCTGGACTTAACCTGGACAACAAAAGAGCAGTTGTTTGCAAATTGTTGTGAAACAGAAGTCGATGGTGTAAGTATTACTTCAAAAATAACCTTAAAAAAAACAGACTTTCAAACAAAAAGACAAAACACTATAAAGAACAGCAAAGTCAAGAAAAGTGTGTAAGGACGGTGCTGCATATTTATTTCTGGATATTGCTGGACAGGAGTACTAACCCGAGGTATTGGGTCTGGAACATCATGTTTATACAAGCTGTAACCTCGTTTTTTACTATGCTTTCAAAGTTACAGATGTGTGGTTATACTTTTCTCCATACTGAATTACTATTTTGAACACAGAAGGACAAAAAGGCTTATAAACAAATTTTATCCTCTGGAAAGGACCTTGTTCATCTGCCAGGCTACTCTGGAGGGGTGATTGATGTAACCATCTGCAGAGACAGAGAGACAACAGTAGATGGATTCAGGGATTTGGGGTCAAGAGGAGTAGAGAGGAGGTCTAATATGATACTGCAGAGCAGGAAATAAGAGGAGTTGAAGTGCAGAAAATGTGCATGAGCCGGCCATCATCTGTTGAGTGCCTCATGTCAAGAATGTGCCGATATATTGCAACAGAGGACACTCAAATGTGCTTTTTAAGTTGCAGCGTGTCCTCTGTGTATGAGCGGGAAGGGGTGCGTACTGCAGTTCAGTGAAGTGTAGATATTAACCTGTCCTGACCTCTAATGGTCATAAGCTAGAACAACAACTTGAAAAAAATAGACTGGTGACCACTAACTGTCACTGGTGTGGAGCTTTGCATCAGACAATGTCTGTGTCTCATTTCAGAGACCGCATCGGGCTAAGTGCACTTCTGCACCGTCGAACGGTGCATTTGAAGCGTGCATGACGTCACGACGGCGCGAACTGTGTCCCGTTTGGCACGAGATGCTAAGAAATGCTAAGCGCGCTTAGCATGTTTTTAAGCGTGCATTTATGCACGCTTTCGTGCCGTCGGTATCCCAGAATGCTTTGCGTGCCGCTGCACAGCTGTGCATTACAGGTGAGAGGCTGGACTCGCTTGGAGACGTCTTCAAAGAAAATAAAAGAAATCCGAAAACAGCAGACAGGTCAGCTTTGTGGTTTCTGAAGAAACAATCAAACTGATGATGATCAACATTTGTGATCCAGAGGGAGTCGAGCTCCGATGAGCACCACATCTCTGACACCGGCGGTAGCCTACACCTGCAGGAGCAGCTGTTCCCAAAAACCTTCTATCAAAGTTCCTTTGAGTCAGATTTTTCCTTCCTGAGCCCAGAATTCTCAGGGTCCTATGTTCTTGAGTTCCTGTGTTCCCAGATTCTTAAATTCCTGGGGTCCTCAGGGTCCTATAATCCTAGAGCTTTATGATACTTGGGTTCTACATTCTGATTCCCTGTGCAACCAGGATCATTTGATCCCAGGGTTCTTCCATCAAGCATTCAATCCAACGGTCCTACTCTGGAGGTCCTCAGGTTTCTATGATATCAAGGTGTTGTGAACCAAGGGTCTTGGGATTCTTTGGTCTCCCTAGATCTTCAAGGACCGGTGACTTAGGTCCTTTGTTGCCTAAAGCTGAAAACATACAGGATCCGTGTTGAGCGCATTCTATTAGTATTGCGTATCTGCTCCATCGAGCAGCACTGTCTACTGCCCATAGACAGAAACGACACGCCCCCACCAGGTTGTTTTTCCTTTCTGTGGTCTATTTCCTTCTAATTTGGATATAATTCAGTGACTGTTGAGCCTCTAGTATATGTGAAAACACAACATGATTTTACAGTTTCGGTTTTCGCCAGTTTACATGTGTTTAATAAAGTAAACCATGTTCCTTTCTGCTGTGCTGTTACCTTCAGACAGAGTTAGCAGTTCAAAGTCCTTTTGGGGTCCACATGGATCAGGGATTGACCATCAGATTGTTCTGTGTTATTGATTAATCCAGAACCAGGAAGTATTTTTCATCGACATGAACTGATACACAGTTGGGAGCATATGATGTTTTATTTTGAAATTTACCAGATGACATGCCAGTTTTCGTGCTTGACATCCTGTCGAGAACGATCCTCTCTGTGTAGATTGACACTTATTGGAAGCGTAGAGCAAAGAAAAAAGACTTGGTGCTTATCTTTAGCAGAGCAGCGCTCGACCATTTCTGAGACAGAGCTGCGACACGTCCTGCGTGCGATGCTTCACTGATTACAATGGGAACCTATTTGCTGTGTGACGCGACGCTGACGGAACGCGCGCAACACTGATCCTGTATGTTTTAGGCTTAAGTCCTTAGGGCCGGCTAACCCCAGGGTCCTGCACGATTTTTTAAACCCACCATGTTTTCGGAGCATCTTTTGACCACATCTTTTTTACTGAATTCCTGATGTCGTATTTCCGGGAACGTTTGTTTGAGGTCCTCAGGGTTCCACTAAACAACCCACCAAACACCTGACGTCATTTCAACGTCTTTTTTCAGGCTAAATCACGTCGGCTGACATCAAAATCTGGGCTACATTTAGATGGTCAGAGTCAGAGTGAGAGATGACAGAGTCACAAGACAGAAACCACTGCTGAACAAATGTACATTAAGGCTCGTCTCAATTTTGCCAGAGAACTGATTTTAAAAGTGTTCACGTCTGATTTTAAAACTTTCTAACCTACTGTGCATGTTATCAAAATAAAAAACTGACCTCCAGAGAAAAGTCTTTGATTCCATTTAAACAAAACTTTATTTAAAAACAGAGTCAAGTTGACAAGTTTTACCAAACACAATCACGGTATTTCACTGTCAGAGAGTTATTAACTCAGACAAAATATGTGAAAAGTTAGTTATATGTGTAATACAAATGCAAAAAAACATGGAGCAGAGAGAGGAATAAAGCATGACAGAAAAATGAACAAAATAAAGACAAAGCAATATGAGCAAAATAGAATATGTGCATCCAAAAAGATGACATTTAAGACAAGCTTTGCTTACAGAGTGAGTTTGGTGGAGGTAGAGATGAAAAACCAGCTGGGGAAAAATATTGAAGGAAAAAAACCCCAGTGGACAAAAAGCTCTCTACATGCTGTCACAGTTTCAGCCTCCATTTAACAAAGTTTAAGCCATAAATGAAGCTCAGATTAAACATTTAGTTTTACAAATATAATGAGAAATCAAATTCAGTACAACACAAAAACCACCTGGTTACAATTGTAAGAAGACGCTACTAGCTGTAGATCTTACAGGTTTGCACCAAAGAAACTCAAATGTTAGCAAGTTTAACAACACATCATCTGGTCAAACAGATGAATAATTTATAATAGATTCAGCAGTACAGAACTATTCTCTATGACCCTTGTGTCACAGACAGGTCATCCATCTTCATCACTGGGTCCTCAGTCGAGACTCGAGTATCCTCCTGTGAATGAAGAAAACAGTCATGAGTGAATATTCTGCCTCGTTTTCATTTAGTTTTCTATCAGTCAGAAAAGGTCTCAGTGATAATCCTATAATGTCAATAATACTGATAATGTCAGCGATATAAAGGTGGAGGAGATCTATAAAGTGACAGTGACATAGCAAAGCTTGCACTCTTCATGGGTTGTGGAGGTTTATCTGTGCCCATCAAGTAAAAACATCCAACTATCATCATCTTAACGGACTCATCTGTTAGAAGGATTTGAGACAGCTGCTCATGTGTGCTCCTCAAAGTAGAGCCTGAAAGAGAGAGGCGCACTCACCATGTCCTGAGTAAGGGTTTTCTGGACGAGGTTGAAGGTCTACGGGCTCACAGTGAGACAGGAAGTCCGCCTGCAGGGTGGTGACTACAGAAGGCAGACAGGGATGAGATCCAGTTAGTGGACTATTTACATCAATTTATCACCATAAAACTTTGACTGAAACAAGCAAGACCACTCGCAAAGATTGACTTACCTCTAATCAGGGGACCAAGTCTTCGTCTTCCTTTTTTCAGCCGGGTCCTGGAGCAAGAGGGGGTCATCGACGTCTCGGTGTAGTCCTAAAACAAAAGGACAAATTTATTCTTTAGACCGGCACATTTTTTAAACCTATAAGTGAATCATTATCTCTGTTTTATGTACCGGTTTCTCGGGGATGGTGCCCACGGCATCTGGTGGAGTCCGATGGTGTCAAGGGGCAGGTTTCTGTGCTGGTGCAGACTTCAGTTAAAGGGGTCCTGAATGAAGAAGATCTGTCCCTCAAAGTGGGCAAAGCACTGGTGTTTGGGAGAGATTAAAATTGGTAGAGATTAGAAAATCTGGATGCATCAGATAAAACCAGGTTCCTTTTGTAGGTGGTGGAATCTGTACTCCATGCTCACCTGTAACCCAGTATGCAGGAGCTCAGAGTCCAGCAGGTGATGGGGTCTGCCAGGGTCTTCCTGGATGTAGACTGTAACAACACAAGATAGATTTTGGAGAAGCAGAAAGATGGGTCACTACATTGGAAACAAACTTTAAAGATTCAACAGACAGATTTAAAATCAATTTTCTCTTGGGCGTCTACAAACCCCCAGAAAAGCTGGAGTGTTTGGACCTCGGTGAAAACAACTACAAGAACTTTGAAAAGTTTCTCAAAATCATTAAAAGAGAACTTCAGAAACCTTCAGCTTGACGGTGACTCTTAAAAACTTCCCAGTCTGGATGGAGGAGCAGCTCATCGGGGTGGGGCAGCATCAGATCCTCCCAGGACCTGGTGGTGGTCAGCACATCCAACACCACGGCTCGACACCTCCGTCATGTTTAGGGGAAAAGCAGAGACATACATGTGCAGCCAAAGGGAGGCATAAAAACCTCGTACAGAATAACAGGACACAAAAAACCATGACAAGTACAGATCTCAGATTTTCACAGAGACTGGAGGGTCAAAAAGAAACAAAACAAACAGAAGACGAAAAAAACAAAAAGAAAACAAACATCTCAGATTTTTACAGAGACTGGAGGGTCAAAAAAGAAACAAAAAAACATTTTATGGTTACAGTTCATTGTCCCCCTCATTATAGTTGAAGCTGTAAGAGACGTTGGTGAGGCCTGAAGTTGTAGTTGATGTTGAGGTTGTCCTTGTTGAGTTGGTTTCCTTTTGGAGAACTGAGTGAACTTTGCCGATTTGTTGTTTCCTTAAGAGTTGTTGTTTTGCTTTTTGGATTTTGTTGTTTTAGTGGTGGGCTCAGCAAGTATTTGGTAAAACTTGCAACTGACATTTTTTTTGACATTTTCATGCCAACCAAGTTTCATGAAAACAGAAATAACCTTTTTAAAGTCATAAAACCCTTTTAACCTTGAGTGATGCTGAACCATTCTCCGGTTGGTTGTGAATTTTCTTTTTTGGTTTGGTTTTTATTTAGTGTTTTTGGCATTCCTTGATTAATTGACTGTTGTCATTAAACTTTTGAGTTAAAACCACCTTTTGTACCTTGTTGGTGGTTTTCCCTTTTGTCATTGAAAGCACCATTTAAACCTTGTATTACCATTGTGTCCCTGTGAGCACCATTTAAACCTTGATGATTTGTCCTTTTGTCATTGACAGCACCATTTAAACCTTTTTGTTGTGTCATTGAAAGCACCATTTAAACCTTGTTTGTGTTACCATCATGTCCCTGAAAGCACCTCATGAACCTTGTTGTCTGTTTCCATATTGTCTTTGAACGCATCGTTGTGAACCTTGTTGGTTTGTGGTTGTGTGGCTGAAAACACTTTTTAAACCTTGTTTTCGGTTTGATTGTTGTGCTTTTGATTGTTGAACCTCGTGGTGTTGCATCTTTGCATCTGAGTATGATGACTGTTTCAGCCGTTGTGTTTCAATAGAGACATTCACCTACCTTTTTGATAAAATAACCCACCTTATGGCTGAAATGTTTTTATCGACTGGGACGTCGGACACACTTCTCCAGCTGGGCTCTTTTCTAGAGGACATCAGGACTTGTTTCTGAAAAATAACATAAAACTATGTCTTTACAGGCACAGAAAATGAGTATGATTGTTACAGACAGAAACACACAAATCTGTACAGTTAAACATCAGAAAAGCCTGCAGCATCACTTAAGAGCTAATATTCTCCTGCATCCACATCCTTGAGTCACCTGAAAACAACAGAGTACTCACAAAATACACAGCTGTTGCATCACCAACTGGTTTTCGAAGAGAGGTTATAGTCACGACATTGGAAACACTGGCCCAGCCTTACATGTTATCAACATAAAAACAGGCATAGATCAAGCTTTGGTGGGCCTTAACTTTGGTAGAACAGCTGAGGCACACCCACGTCGCATTGCGCCTTTGTGAAAACGATTTAATAACCAGAGAAAAGTTGTTTCTGGAGTTCAAGCATTCAGACTTTTGGGTGACAATAGGACAGTGTGTTAAGTGGTGTTCCCTGTCACATCTTACCTGCAGCACAAGGATGCCCGACTTCGTCTCTTAGAGGTGATCTAGATCCTTCCTGAAGATGTTGGTGGTTGCCAAGTTCAACACTGAAGATGCTCACTTCTGTGATGGTTGGGGAAAAGGAGAGAGACACACATACAAATGCAGAAAATACTTGACTTAAAAACAGTGATGGTGAGGTGCAGCATTAGAAAATCTGTTTGAAACTGAATATGGATGAAGTTATCAGAATGCAGGACCTGGTTTCTTACATGCTTTCTTGTGGTTACTTTGGTGAAAACATACTGTTACCACAATGAAAAGTTCATCTTACCTTCAACAAGATGACCACCCTTGGATTTCCCGGACGGAACAGGAAGGCGGCGCTTTGAGTTTCTGCAGCAACAGTTCCTCCAGAAAAAGAGTGGTCACCGCGTCAGACCTGCTTATGTTCGGAGGAAAGCAGAGACATACAAATGCACCCAAAGAAACATGGCCAAACACACAGCAAATAAGTTAAAAAAATAAATAAATAAAAAAAATGTACAACACATGCAAATCATGACAAGCACAGTTCAGGATTCCATTTCAGAGATTCAAAAGGTTCACAAAAATACAAAGAATAAATAAAAATACGAAAAACTACAGTTTTAACAAAAACAGTTGGAGGATCTACACAGTTTGTTTATTGTCCTCGTTCTGTTTAGTGTTGACAGTTACATCTTATAGAAACAATGTGCAAACGTTGCTGTCTTGTCATTGTTTCCGTTGGATCCTTTGGAAGCACTTTGACGGTTGTTGCGATGTTGGTGGTTTTGAAACTTAGTTTTGGTTGATAGTGATTTTGCTGAAGTTGCTTTGACAGACCTTTTGAGAGCAGACTTTTAACATACCGTCTTTGCTTGTTTTAAGAACCAGTTTTTTTAAGCACCTTTTAGACCTTGTATTTTGGATTTAAGATCAAGGCCTTGGAAGCACCTTTAAAAACTTTTTTGGGGTTTGAGGTAAAGTATTTGAAAGCACCGTTTTGAAGCTTTTTTGGTTCGAGACTAAGGCTTTGAAAACACCTTAAAAATTTTTTGTTTAAAATCAAATCTTTGAAAGCACCTTTCAAACCTTTTGTTTGTTTGCGATCAATCCTTGAAAAGCAACTTTTGAGCCCTTTTTTGTTTGAGAACAAGTCTTTGAAAGCACCTTTTTTGAAGCCTTTTTTTTAGAACAAGTCTTTGAAAGAACCTTTTTAGAACCTTGTTTCTGGGTTTGAGATCAAGTCTTTTAAAGCACCTTTTAAGAACTTTGAATTTGGTTTGAGATCAAGTTTTTGAAAGCACCTTTTGAACCTATTTTGGTTTTTGGTTTGAGATCAAGATTTTTTAAGCACCTTTCAAACCTTTTTTTGGCTTGAGATCAAGTTTTTAAAAAGCACCTTTTTTTTTTTAAATCATACCTTGAAAAGCACCTTCTGAACCATGTTTCTGGGTTTGAGAACAAGTCTTTGAAAGCACCTTTTGAACCTTTTTTGTTTGAGAACAAGTCTTTGAAAGCACCTTTTGAACCTTTTTGTTTGAGAACAAGTCTTTGAAAGCACCTTTTGAACCATGTTTCTGGGTTTGAGATCACGTCTTCAAAAGCATCCTTTGGACCTTGTTTTAGGTTTGAGATCAAGTTTTTTAAAGCACCTTTTGGACCTTGTATTTGGTTTGAGATAAAGATTTTGAAAGCACCTTTCAAGCCTTTTTTGATTTGAGATAGTTTTTGAAAAGCACCTTTTTAGAATATTTTTTTGTTTTGAAATCATACCTTGGAAAGCACCTTCTGAACCATGTTTCTGAGTTTAAGAACAAGTCTTTTGAAAGCACCTCTTTTAAACCCTTTTTGTTTGAGAATAAGTCTTTGTAAGCACATTTTAAACCCTTTTGTTTGAGAACAAGTCTTTGGAAAGCACCTTTGGAACCATGTTTCTGGGTTTGAGATCACGTCTTTTTAAAACACCTTTTTAGAACCTTGTTTTTGGTTTGGATCAAGTTTTTCAAAGCACCTTTTGGACCTTGTATTTGGTAAGAGATAAAGATTTTGAAAGCATCTTTCAAGCCTTTTTTGTTTTGAAATCAAGTTTTTAATAAGGACCTTTCTAGAAAATTTTTTTGTTTTGAAATCATACCTTTTGAAAGCACCTTTTTAGAATATTTTTTTTGTTTTGAAATCATACCTTTGAAAGCACCTTCTGAACCATGTTTCTGAGTTTAAGAACAAGACTTTTAAAAGCACCTTTTTAAAACCCTTTTGTCTGAGAACAAGTCTTTGAAAGCACCTTTCAAACCTTTTTTTGATATCAAGTCTTTGAATGCAACTTTGGAACCTTGTTTTTTGGTTTGAAATCAAGTCTTTTGAAAGCACCTTGAGAACCTATTTCTGAACCATGTTTCTGGACTTGAGATCAAGTTTTTGAAAACAACCCTCAAACCTCTGAGTTTGAAATCAAGATGATCACATCTAAAAACAAGGTGTTCACTTTCCCTCAGAGAGATGACCAACCTTACAGCAAAAGCCATGTCAATGTTGTCCCGCTGTTCTTGAAGTTCTTGAAGTTCTCGTTGTCCTTCTTGTAGTTCCTCTGGATCTGTTGGTATTAATTCTTGAGGTTTTTGCAGTTTTAACATTAGCATGATCCTGATACTATGAAAGAATAGGAGATTAACAGGACAAATCAATAAAGCACAGTCGAATACTGTGCACTTGACAAGTTTAGCTGGGTTCATTTTCAGCATAGTTATCCTTACAGTTTTGACAGCTGTTACTGCCACATCATCAAAGTTAACATTACTGTTTTTTTGTTTTCATGTCACTCCAGAGTAAAACAAACATTTTATCATTAGGGTTTTTTTGGAGTGTGATCATCATATTGAAGTCAAATGTAAAAGGAAAAAAAACAGACTCAGTCCTGTTCAGAGGTTTGGGCGTTGACACACGAGGTCCACATCAGGTCTTCTTCTACTCCTTTGGTTCTTCTGAATGGTCTTCTTGTTCTCCGTGACAGTGCTGCTAAGAAAAAGCTTTGATTGTCTGGTTTATGCCATTTTTGACTGAGTAGAGGCAATTTATTTTTAGGCTTGAAGGTGCTCTTGTTAGATTAGGTGCTTTTGTCAAATTAAAAAGGTGCTTTTGTCAAACTAAAAAGGTGCTTTTGTCAAATTAAAAGTGCTTTTGACACACCTTTTGAGACCAGACCTTTAACATACTGTCTTTACTTGATCAAGAACCAGCTTTTGAAAGAAACCTTTCAAACCTTGTTTTTTGTTTTTTAGATCAAGTCTTTCGAAGCAACTTTTACAAATCTTTGTAGAGCTTGAAATCAAGTCTTTGAAAGCATGTTGAGAACCTATTTCTGGGTTTGGATCAAGTCATGAAAAGCAACCTTTTGAACCTTGTTTCTGGATTTGAGATCAAGTTTTGGAAAACACCCCTCAAACCTTTTTTTTTTAGTTTTAAATCAAGATGATCACATCCACAAACAAGGAGATGTTCACCTACCCTCAGAAAGATGACCAACCTTACAGCAAAAGCCATGTCAACGTTGTCATGCTGTTCTTGAAGTTCTTGTTGTCCTTCTTGTAGTTCCTCTGGATCTTGTCTTAACTTTTGAGGTTTTTGCAGTTTCAACATTAGCATGATCTCTAATACTATTCAAGAATTGAAGTTTAGTCTCAAAATAAAGCACAGCAAAATACTGTGCACTAGAGTTTAGCAGGGTTTGTTTTCAGTCTAATTATCCTTACAACAGCCTTGAATCCCTATCTTTGTAACAGCCACTGCGGCTCCTGTTTCAATCATTAACATTACTGGGTTTTCATTTTTGTTGTCATTCATTTCAAGAGTGTCAAAATAAAGCACAGCAAAATACTGTGCACTAGAGTTTAGCAGGGTTTGTTTCAGTCTAATTATCCTTACTGGGTTTTCATTTTTGTTGTCATTCATTTCAAGAGTGTCAAAATAAAGCACAGCAAAATACTGTGCACTAGAGTTTAGCAGGGTTTGTTTCAGTCTAATTATCCTTACAACAGCCTTGAATCCTTATCTTTGTAACAGCCACTGTAATTAACATTACTGGGTTTTCATTTTCATAGTCACTCATTTTCAAGAGTGTCAAAATAAAGCACAGCAAAATACTGTGCACTAGAGTTTAGCAGGGTTTGTTTCAGTCTAATTATCCTTACTGGGTTTTCATTTTTGTTGTCATTCATTTCAAGAGTGTCAAAATAAAGCACAGCAAAATACTGTGCACTAGAGTTTAGCAGGGTTTGTTTTCAGTCTAATTATCCTTACAACAGCCTTGAATCCCTATCTTTGTAACAGCCACTGCGGCTCCTGTTTCAATCATTAACATTACTGGGTTTTCATTTTTGTTGTCATTCATTTCAAGAGTGTCAAAATAAAGCACAGCAAAATACTGTGCACTAGAGTTTAGCAGGGTTTGTTTCAGTCTAATTATCCTTACTGGGTTTTCATTTTTGTTGTCATTCATTTCAAGAGTGTCAAAATAAAGCACAGCAAAATACTGTGCACTAGAGTTTAGCAGGGTTTGTTTCAGTCTAATTATCCTTACAACAGCCTTGAATCCTTATCTTTGTAACAGCCACTGTAATTAACATTACTGGGTTTTCATTTTCATAGTCACTCATTTTAAGAGTGAAAACAACAGTTTTAATACAAATTAGGGAAAAATAAAAGCAGTATGAAAAATTCAACCTGGTTGATGTCCTTCAAACGGGTCTGTGCATTGGGCATCCATCCCTCGTTGAAGATCTTCACACCTTTTGAGATCTTATATCTTCAGGTTGTACTTGCTGCGTTAGCTCACAGCACTATGCACAATTTACAATCAATAGAAATGCTTAACTGGTCTACAAGGTCAAAATAAAGCACAGCAAAATACTGTGCACTAGCGTTTAGCAGGGTTTGTTTCAGTCTAATTATCCTTACTGGGTTTTCATTTTTGTTGTCATTCATTTCAAGAGTGTCAAAATAAAGCACAGCAAAATACTGTGCACTAGAGTTTAGCAGGGTTTGTTTCAGTCTAATTATCCTTACTGGGTTTTCATTTTTGTTGTCATTCATTTCAAGAGTGTCAAAATAAAGCACAGCAAAATACTGTGCACTAGAGTTTAGCAGGGTTTGTTTCAGTCTAATTATCCTTACTGGGTTTTCATTTTTGTTGTCATTCATTTCAAGAGTGTCAAAATAAAGCACAGCAAAATACTGTGCACTTGAGTTTAGCAGGGTTTGTTTCAGTCTAATTATCCTTACAACAGCCTTGAATCCTTATCTTTGTAACAGCCACTGTAATTAAAATTACTGGGTTTTCATTTTCATAATCACTCATTTTAAGAGTGAAAACAACAGTTTTAATACAAATTAGGGAAAAAAAACAAGCAGTATGAAAAATTCAACCTGGTTGATGTCCTTCAAACGGGTCTGTGCATTGGGCATCCATCCCTCGTTGAAGATCTTCACACCTTTCGGAGGTCTTCTTATATCTTCATTTTCTTCTTTGACCAAAAGCACGTCAGGAAATGTGAGGTAGTTTGGGGCGATGAGGAGGAGTATCCACTTGGGCAGAGAAACGCTTGCCGAAATCAGACCTAATCCTTGTGACGCATCCCGACTATTTAAAAGCTTCCCTCAGGAAGTTAAATTTTAATTCGAGTGAACTCTCATTTTTGTTTTGGTAAATTTGTTGATTCACACGTTTTTGAGGACCTAGTTGCTATTTTGTTCAATTAAATCTGATAGTAGACTTGTTTTGGGGGTCTATATTGCTGCACTGGTTGATCGTTAATGGTGGGGATTCTTGTTTTTGTGGTTTTAGAAGAGAACAGTTTCTCTCCACAATTGCGTCACCAAAACAGAGCAAAACTAGACAAAAATCTGCTTCTCTGGAAGAGAACAACTTCTCTCCACAATTGCATCACCAATTGCAGCAGACCAAAACTAGACCAAAACCTGCAACCCCAGAAGAGAACACTTTCTCTCCACAATTGCATCACCAAAACTAGACCAAAACCTGCTACTCGGGCAGAGAACAACTGCACTGCTTCATCGTTCATGGTGGGGTTCTTGTTTGTGTTGGTGCGGTTGTTGTCAAACCAAAAGCATACTGACCTCCAGTGTCCCTCGTTGATGGTCTGTCCGTGGAGTGAAGTAGTCAATGTCTTACCTTAAAGGGTCCAGGCGTTGGACGGTCATGAGTTCTGCCTCAGGTTGACTTGATCCGGCGTAATTTCAGCTCCTGGTTAACACACAGAGAAATAAACAACCATCAAACCTTAAGTCCTGAATATAAGAACATCAGAGAATATAAAAACCTTGACCTCTTTGACCTCCTTCAATAATCAGCTTTCACACAAGTTTATGAGTTCAGCCCTATTTTAAATACTTTACAATAACTACAATTTATAAATGGTAAATAGATGATTAAAGTTTAATCATCATTTAAAAACAGCCTATAGACCAATTATAAATGCCAAATAGATAGTTTATTAATGTAAATTAATTGTTACTTCAATGATTGATAATTTTCATTAATTATTAATGGACAATTTATTAAAAGGTTTATATAGGGCAGTGGTTCTCATGTCCAGTCCTCAAGGCCCACTGTCCTGCATGTTTTGGATGTTTCCCTGTACCAACACACCTGATTCAAATGATTAGCTCGTTATTAAGCCATTACAGAGCTTGATAACGAGCTGATCATTTGAATCAGGTGTGTTGGTACAGGGAAACATCCAAAACATGCAGGACAGTGGGCCTCGAGGACTGGACTTGAGAACCACTGCTATAGGGTTTAAATATTGGCTTTAAACCATCTAGATTAAAATGTGTGTCAGTAAATGGTTAATATTTGGTTCTTAAACCATCTATAAACATTACTTGATGGTTTATTGTAAAGTTGTAACTGATGTTTGAAATACTTTGTAAATTGGTTTATAATTATTTATAATTATAAACCATAATAATTGATTAATTGGTGTATAAACCACCTATAAACATTACTTAAATGGCTATAGTAACGTTAGGGTTAGGGGTAAGGTTTTTATAAAATTGTTAAATTTACTATTTATGGCCTATATGCTATTTATAAATTATTTAAATATTAATAAACTATCTCCTTACCATTCATAAATGGTCAATTTACCATTTATAAGTAATGGTTATTGTAAAGTGTTGCCAGTCATTTTAAACAGCTCATGTTTGCATGATGGTTGGCAGCCATGCTCCAAATCAGACCATTTAAAGACCATTTTCAAGCCACATCTTTATTTTCTTTCTAGGCTTATAAAGTTGCATCCCTGCCTCAGTCTCACCTTTGGCCTCCGTGGAGTGGAGCCATCTGAGAGGACATGAAGTCAGCTGGGGTCTGAGGAACATGCTGGAAAAAAACCAAACAAACACAGAAGCACAGTTAGTACACACCAACAACAGCACTTTCTACTGCAGACTCAGGGTACACTAAGACAGATCTGAATAAGCAGTTTTGCTTTTTCACACTGGGCTTTGAGATCTTAGTCTTTTAATACAGTCAGAAAAATAAGAATAAGGCCAAATGCAGTCTTCTGAACATTATATTCATGGCACCATCATGTAAATCTTAAAACAAACTTATTCATTAAAGTAAAACACTTAAATGTTTTTATAGGTGTCATGGATTCATGTTTAGGGTAGCTGTCAGAGGATTTTAAGGCCCAGTGGCCTGAATAACGCCATCTGCTGGACATTTAGTGTACACACACACACCCTCTGCAAGCTACAACTTGATGCCAAAGTGGAAATTTACTGGAAAAAGTCTTGTGTTTAACTTTGTTAGTGCTTATACACGTCAGGCCTGTATGATAATCCCATGAAAATAAAAGCATTTTAAATATGAAAGCGTGCCTAAGACCATTTTGTTCAAACACTAGCTCAGTAGAGATTGTATATGCATGTAGATTCATCAATATAAAAATCAATCATTAAGCTTTTAAAGCTTTGCATCCTTTTGGCTCAATTTAAGGAAAAAAAAAAAAAACATGAGTCGAATTTTTCGAGTAAATTTCGGCGAAGCGCGAGTTGATGACGTATGTGATAACGTTTGAAGCCTCGCGAGCCGGTGTTATGCCGTGGAATGCATCCCCTCCACTCATTAGCTTCTTAAAGTGGGAGAAAATTATCTTATATTTAAAACAAAACACGAGTATTGGATCATGACAACACGTCAAATAGAGCAGCAAACTTTCCCTCTGTTTTTATGTGTCTAAAAAATGCACATAGAGAGGTGTACTTGGGTATATAAACTGTACAGTACGCTGTTAAGGTAGAGAACATTATATTTTCGGGACAGCAAATATTCCCAATCAGAGGGCTGTTGTTTTCGGCTTATCTGGACAACCTGAACAAAATCATTAAAGGCATACACTTTTAAATTCATCCAATGGTAGGGAAAACTTGGATTATTTCGTCTTGTTCTGTACTTTCAACCGCGCTTCCGTCAGGGGGCGCATTTTACGACAGGGGTGCAATCTACGGCAGAACACCGGTCGTACCACGTGACTGATTTAGGAACCGGCTCGCGGTTTTGGCGGGTGATTTAAAATCTAACGGGCAGCGAAACGCGACGGAGTACCGCTTACAGTCCGAAGACTTGTCGAAAAGTTGTTTTTTAATGAAAATGAATGAAATATTAACGTGCTCGATGCTGTCCCCGTAACAAACGCACAGTCACAAACCGAGTTACACACAAGCACATTCACATCACAACTGTCTCCATTTCTATTTATGTCCTGTTTCCCTTTTCACCCTGCTACTGTGTCGTAAAAACAGACAAAATATCAATAACTTAATAATTTCTGTATTGATATCTCAAACACATGGCGTCAGATTCATTCATTCAATTCAGAGATTCGCACACCAAAGGGGGTGTCTCTGATAATCACTCTGCCTGTTTTACATTTATTGTCCACGATGGCACAGTTGAGCAAATGAAGTTTCAGACCAGAGTAAAGCAAATGCGTGGAAATAATGATTCAAGAGGCTTCATGTCACGAGCACCTACTGAGTCCTTACCTGTGCTCTGGACGAAGGTGTTGCTTCCTCTCAGTTTGCTGGCGAATGGCCCGATAGCTTCAGGTGACCCTCTTTTGAACCCTGTGACCACTCCCACGGGGCGTTATTAATTACATAATTTCAAACAAACCGAAATTTTCTCACCATCTAAAAGCAGTTCATTCCTCTAAACTCTTAATCCATCCGCAATCACTTATTTTACACTTTTATATTCACTTAATTTCAACAATAGAAAGTTTTTTATCATATTTGTTCATTTCTGAACCACGTGACCGTCATTTCGTATTTACTCTGTGGAAATCCACCGCCTCGGTTTGAGTGTGTATGTGTGTGCGTGTAAGCGAGACCCGTGTAGGTGTTTGAGTGTGCACCCTCTAACACCAGCCACGGGGACGCAAGAGTCCAGGGAAATTATTGTCCTTTATGTTCATTTTGACTCCCGTCCGTCCGTCACTCCAGCCGCGAGTGACCACGCTATTCCCCACGTCGGCGCCCAGCGGCGAGGCAGAGCGAGAGGGAGAGCGTGCGGCCAGCCGCGATGAGGACGGTGTTAGCAGAGTCGGATTAACCATGAGGCATAGTGAGGCTGAAGGCTCAGGGCGTTTGGCTACGGGGGGCCACTCAGCCCGAGCAGAAGCCGGTATGACGCTGATGAGCTGCGCCCGATGTGAGGAGGATTAGGCTGTATTGGGATAGAGGAAAAAGTGCCTAGAAAGTGAATCTCGTTTCACTTCAGTGGGGAAACATAAACTGTGATTCATAAAACAGCTCTATTGATAGTAAGTACTAAAAAAAAATATCTACTCATGCCATCCTGTCGATTTTTAGTAATCAGTGTTTCGGTGTCGAACTATTTCCTTTCTGCGGCGCAGTGATACTTGCACACGCGCAATCGAATATGCAGAGGGGTGAAGCGATTTTTGTCACGTGGACCAATAGGAGCCGAGTCTCGTTGCCATAGTATCAGAAATACACAAACATGGCGACGAGCGCGTCTACCAGCGAGACAAGCAAAGAGGAAGAAAAGAACAGGAAAAAAAAAAAGAAAACAGCCTTCAAAAGTGCATCAAAAAGGAACGAAACGATGCTATATGCATCTATCATCTGTCCAGAGTGAAGACGTTCTCGACTTTACAAGGACATGTTGGGAAACTTACAGAACTAGTATTAGCAAGTGGCTTTCTCTACAGGGTGAGACAAAAGAACAGCCAGAAAATGTATATATTGTGAGTAACGCAAGACAAAATCTTTCTCAAATATCATAAATACATCTACCTAACACCTGAAATAGTTATCGGTGCCTTAGTATAAGCATAAGTGAATTCAGATTATGAAATGTAGCAAATTTCTTGAAGAAAACGTCTCAACTCAAGTGATTTGCACCCAGCACAATGAAATATATACAGTAAATTTAGCTAAAAGCTTATGTTTCATACATAAAAATGATACAACCTACTGTGTGATAAAAGCAATAAAATATAAACAGCACATCATGGCCCTAAATGGCTGAAAGTCAGTCAAATTGCTACCACGCTCCCCAAAATTGGAATAATGGAAAAAATGTAACAAGACCAAAATAAATGCACAAAAGGTCTGAATTAATTCAAAATATGGTATAAAACATTTATTCAAGTATCACAGTGTCACCTCTAATGACCTCTAATGGCCATAAGCTAGAACAACAACTTGAAAAAATAGACTGGTGACCACTAACTGTCTGGTGTGGAGCTTTGCATCAGATTATAAATTCACGCAAACCACACTGTCGCACAGGAAGAGTAACATAAGCCACACTTAAATGTTTTTTTCTGAGAGTGACTGTGCAATCAGAGGTGTGAAGACAACAGGATGGATAGAACTGACACAATGCTGAAACGTCACCTTGCCTACAATAAACTTTTTTTTTTCAAATCTATAGTTTACATTAAGCAACTGACAGAGTCCGTCACTAAGTACTTCTCTCACCAAGAGCAAAGGAGGTGGCTATTTCAAAGAAACTAGAATATAAAACATGTTTTCAGTTATTTCACACTTTTTTTATAAGTACAAAATTTCACACGTGTTCATTCATAGTTTTGATGCCTTCAGTGATAATCTACAATGTAAATAGTCATGTAAACTTAAATAAAGACAAGACACTGAATGAGAAGGTGTGTCCAAACTTTTGGCCTACAGGGGAAGCAGATTGAAACTTGTATTCATGTCACAACTGTGGACATTGCAGTATGCAAATTAAGACAACATTCAGACCGCAACAAAGTGTAGACATGCAGATATGTACATACAATCTGCACAATCAAGCTTTGTTATCTAAATCACCTTTCTTGTTTTTGAAAGTGTAAGTTAAACTATCATGTCCTCACCTCTCAGTCTATCCTCAGACAAATGTGTGTTTATTTGTTTGTGAGGCTGTAGCTGTGGCTTCCCAACCACAAACCTGAATATGTCGAATACTGCGTGCATCTTATGTTTTGGCTGTGTTGCCAGGGACTCAGTGACGCAGAGCTAATGTTAGACAAACATTTGCATTTGTGAGGGCAGAGCTTTCCCTTACCCATATAACCATACCTATGACAGAGAGATGCTGGAGTATGTGATTGCTGGTGCTGACTGACCTCTCCTCTTCATCCACGCTGATTATACAGAGAGAAGACAAAGACACATAAGGTAAATACTGAGGGTCTGTTCAGAATAATGCTGTCTGACGGTGGTCACACCACTGTGCTTTGTCTGAACATTTGTGGTCAAAGTCATGCTTTATTTTATGCTGATGAGTAGTTTTACCATGACATCCTATTTAACTTTATCTTTAAATACACTTTAAGATTCTTCAGTGTGGGTATTTAGATAGTATAAGTTTATGGAGGTTTCTTTAGTTAAATTGAGGAAAAGGTCAAAAGCTTTTGTTGTCATGGATACTTTATTTTAACCAGCACTACTGATGGAGCTATTTTGAAATGTCACTAAACCTAAACCTGAAACTTAAGACACAGACAGAAACTTTCCTGATAAGTAATCAGGTTACCTTTTTATTCAGCAGTGATGAGAATATTGAATTTGCCAAGAATTTAGTGGGTACATTCTAGGTTTCGTTTCTGTCAACTACTGCAGTATGGAGAGTTTAACAGTCAGTGTCTCTTTAGAAAAGTTTATTCACATTTGAAACTGCAGGCATCATATTTTTTGTGGAAGTAAAACATCAATCAATCAATCAATCAATCAAATCAATCATATTTTATTTATATCGCGCCAATTCACAAAAATTGTCATCCTAACGCGCTTTTCAAAGAACAAGAGCATGTCTAGACCATGCTCATTGTTTGATGAAT